ATAGACTGACCTTTGCCTTGATAGGCTGACCTTTTCCTTGATAAGCTGACCTTTACCTTAATAATGACATTCTTTCTATAGCTGCTGAGGTCATACTTCTGTTGACAGTCTTGATTCATCAACAGTTGGAACAAGGCAATCCACATCTAGAAACAGATCCAGACAATTGTTCTTGCTATCATTAATTCCTTAAGGGTATATATATTATTGGGTCCTACAGGACATATATCTTAGATAAGAATCCTGTGGGATGTCTGGTAGAATTCCTATAGAGTCCCATAGAGTCCTGTAGGAATCTTATAGTGTCCTGTAGGAATCGTATAGAGTCCTGAAGGATTTTTAAACAGTCCTGCAGGCTTCCTATAGGGTCCCACAGAGACCAATAGGACATCCGATAGGAAATTTTTGCAGGGGGTGCTTTCTTTCATGCAAGATCTTTATTTCTAATTTTCATTTATCTTTAAATGCCAGTAAAACATGAACATGAGTTTATTGAATATCATTTAAATTAAATAAGTAAACATTAAATGTGAACACGCTTTGTTTCTAATGAACAGCTGTTTTTTTAACTTTAAAAGTTGTAAACAAATAGTTACCTGTCCTTCGATTTTTGTCAACTTTAGGCTATCACCATATGACACTTCCTGCCATTTGTTATCTACATATTTCTTTAATTTTCCTGCAGAAAAAAAAAATTGAAAAATAAGCATACATGTCTAAAGATAGCTGTATCAAATTTATCCAAGATATAAAGATATAAAATCAAACTTATATCTTTAATTTAGAAACCCATCCTAGTGATTCTCAACACCTATAGTTTTAGAACCAATCACTGTTTTCTGTAAATAATTTAATAAAAAAAGTTTTTACCAGTTAACTTATAAAAAGACAGACTTAATTATAAAGCTTATCTAAGAGAAACAAAAATAATAATTTTCACTAACGAGTGTATTTTTTTTTTACTCAAACCAGCAGGACTGCTGAAGTTTAGACCATGCCTTCCCTCTACCAGGGTTGCAGATAATTACGCGCACTTTCCTCTGAAGCCACAGTGCAGAAAAGTACCGTCATTTATCTAGTCTAAGAGATATATCTGTGAACACCTAGTGAGAAATTCAAATTAAAATCTGTTGCCCTGGTAGAGGGTAGACCCTGCTTACACTGAGTGGTACATTCAGCTGGACCAGTCCACTTTAAGAGATCCTAAAATGTGGTTACACCACAGGGGGTTTAAGACTGCGTTCCCATAAACCCATCATACTAGCTAGGTCGTTCTAACTTTGACAGGCTGTTCACTAAAGTGTTTTCAGTGTATTATCAGTTTAATTGACTGAGTGACTAGGAGGTAATGGACTATAGTTAATTACCCTCTAGCAGCTTGGGTAGGTGTGCCAGTCATTTAAACTGCTTACACTGAATGCAATTTAGTGAGAATCTTTGCAGATTTAGATCAATCCAGCTAGTATGATAGGTTTATGGGAAAGTTCCCTAGCTCCCTTTCACAAATTTTCCACAAGTTCACTTCCTGCTGTTTAGTTACATTAATCAATTGGCTGTGCTGAGCATGATGACCGGGACTCTGTTTAGGTGACTTTCTCAGTAATTGCCAAACTGTAAAGTTATCAATCTCTCAAAGTGGACCAATACAGTGAAGTGCACACCTTGATGTTAAACGGGCCCTATATTTTACCATGTTTCCTCTTGGTCCATGGAGGGTTCTCTACTAGCTGCACTAACAAGATGGGGACATCGTGTGTATTCAGCAACCTCTGCATCACACTTAGAGGTAGGCTACAGCATATAGATACAAGTAACTATTTTAATCTTTTATTTCATTTAATTACAGTATACTGCAACCTATGCAATGACTATACATAATATAATACATGGTTGAAAAATACTTCAGTTGAAAACAGAAGAAAGATGCCCCCCCCCCCACTTCCCCATCCCATCATGGTTCAAGATATCAATCAACTCTGCAAGCACTGAAGCAAATGCAACACACCATGAAAATAATTCTTTTAAATCTAGAAAAAAGGGGTAATCGTTGTCAACCCCTAGAAGTTGATTTTCTTTTTCTTCTATATTACCAACAAAAATGCTGTTTTTAGAAAAGAAAATTTATCAATTGACTTTTTATTTAGTTGTTGTCTTATGAAAGACAAGTGGACCTACCTGGAGAGATTGTCTATGATATATCTAAGCACAGACACGGACTTTATACAGATATCAAAGTCCAGTGTTTTGTTCTGTTTCTGAAGTTCCCCAATGGTTGCTGAGGAAGAGGGTGAGCTGTTAGCAGCTGATAGTGCATCTACTTCTTCATCATCATCATCATCATCTTCATCTGACTCTTCTGATCTGAATGCAAATACTAAATACCTCAACAAGCAATCAAAACAAATAAACAAACCAAACTGAAAAATTAAACCAACCAACAAAATTAAATAATATCATATGAAGTTTTTAAATTTTTTTAATCTGGTTACAGGGTTCTATGATTAATGTAAATGTATGCAAAGTAAATCAATTATAAAAGTCAATGTAGTACATATACTACACGTAAATGCAAAAATAAACTAGCTACTAACTTAGCAATGAGTGTGGTGAGTTTTCTATAACAGTAGTCTAATAAATCTAAGATGCTTTCTTCTGCCGATTCACATGCATCTTTGTGGTACATAATTGTCTCCAGTAAATTGATGATGGTTGCTTCGTGGTAAAGCTGAAAAAAAAAAAGATTCTAAGTCAGAATGACAAAAATATATGTGTAAATTGATGATTTTATGAGGCTATCAATTTTATCACATATGCTATTTTATAAAATACTGTACAATCTTAATGAGTTATCATTCCCAATGTGAAACTTGGGTTTAATTTGAAATTGTAGGTGACAAAAACTGAATGAAAGGAACTGATTTGCTGTTTAAAGCTTTATTTATGTATTATTATTTTCTTAATTATTATTATTATTATTATTTTTTTTTTTTTTTTTTTTGAGGGGTGAGGACATGTTGTACTTACAACCATGTATATAGGAAAGGAAATTTTAGGGTCAAAGTTCATCTCTATCAACTCTGGAAAAACTTTCTGCTTCCATATCTCTGTTGCAATGACTTCATAGATTAAAACAGGGATCTGAAAAAAGAGAAACCTTATAAATATTGTAAACATAACTGATATTCAATGAACATAGTATATGTTAAACATAATTGAAAGTTCATCGATTGTGGAACAGTAAGCCTAGCAATGGCATATAGTTTATCCCCACCCTGAAAAACCAAATAAAAAAACAACAACAACAAGGGCAATAAAAAATATATAATAATAATAATAATAAATATTATAATTATAAAACAACTAGCATGATCATGAAGTTTTGTTGATTTAAATATTTAATAATTAGTTGATAAAAAACATTTTGTACAGTAACTATCTCCAATCAAAAGAAGCAGCTTTTCTTTTTCATGCATTGCATCCATTGAAAAATCATGCTAAAAACTCTATTACCTTTCCAGCAGTGATGAAAAATTCTTTGACAAATTCATCTTCCTGTGCTGATGCATTCATTACAGCTTGCATATTGAGTTTCTCTATGTATTCATGGTGCATGCTCCATCTGGGGGATAAATATATGAAAACAAATTGGACCTTTTATATTAAAATAGGAGGATGCAAGTTTGGCAATGACTTAAAGGGAAGCTCCATACCTTGATATCACTTTAAATGTAATTACATTGGTCAGACTAAAAAAAAAACAACAGTGCAATTCACTTGAAAAAAATGAGTCCACTAAAATGAAGGCTAAGTGGAAAATATATGGGCCATGGGGAAAATAACTTTAAAACTGACCATGTTTTTACCCTCAATATATAAGTTTAAATAATAAATAACACAGTGCAATGACCAATCGCAAGAAAATGGAAGAATGTAAAATGAAATACATTACTAGGCACTAGTAAGTAATATTGTTGAACCCACTTAACAAATTGGCAATATGGCCCATGCCCTGACATATTTGTTTATTTGGACCAACAATATTAATTACCTAGTAACATTTATATTTTGCTTTTATATTACTGTAGTACCCTATTTTCTTTTCCTGTGTTTACTTGCATGCTGAGTTGTTTACTTTTTCTTTCTATTGTATTGCCCTGTGTTGCTATGTATTGCGCATTTTGGTATTAGTACACATATATTTATGATACTGACATCACATACAGTACCATGTAATAGGGGAAATAATAAATTTGCTGACCAAAAAATGAAAAAACAAGTTTGAGAAAGTCTCAGAGTCAGACATGCTGAAACTGTCGTTTCGCTCGGTCATGACCGGGAAAATTTGTCTGGTACTATCTGTCTCAAACGAATAGAGTGATTTTCGGTCCGACAAAAATCCATTCGGTGTGGCAAAGTTTTCATTACTGCCGGTCCAAATGTCCTGCCATTTTGAAAAGTTTTCAGCATGTCTGAATTCTAAGCATTTCTACGTGGAAAATGAGGGTAGGATCTGAATATTTTGTTTATTTAGCCTACTTTAAATACTATAACATCCACATTAAAAGATGCGTAAGTAAATGAGAGAGAGAGAGAGAGAGAGAGAGAGAGAGAGAGAGACCTACTTCTGACTACCGATATCTTTCACATCAAATGGTTCTAATGCATCTATATACGCCTCTGCCTCAACAGACATTAAAACTTGACCTTCTCCCGTCGCCATCTCCAATATCTTTTAAAATTTCTGTAGAATTCTAACATGCAATTTTGTTGCTACAACTGTTTGTAATTATTATTCTTATTCCTAGACGGCAGTAAAATCCAAGGAAAGACAAAAGTAAAATAACAATTTGTTTTATGCCAAATTGATTGATGATACTAGATTGTAGTTAAAAACTTAATGATTGCCACTATAAATCATGCAAAATATATTAAAACAGCAAATCCAATTTTTGTCGCTTCAGTTCTTTTTACAATGGGTCCTGTCTTACTTCTGCATCTCGAAAGATGGCGCTTCACTGGCGCACGCGGATTCGGTGGACGCATGCAAGTCTCTTTTGTGCTTTCACCTGTTAATCGACAAGTTCATCATTTTAAAAACATGTAAAGGTGAGTCGGGTCGTTAGTGTCATGAAGTATATGAAAATAATACAGAATGATAACCGGACCAGACGAGACTGCTGTCGCATGCTACTGTCCTCATACTAGATGATCATATATATACATGTACAGTAAACTCCCCTAGCCTCAGTAGGTTGTGTATGTCTTCACTCTTCACTAAAGACGCTTCATTCAGTGCCAACTGAGTTTATGTACTAGTATATGTTTAGGTTATGTTTTTGGCAATTTACATCTTTTGCTGCACTATTTCCCTATGTTTTAGGGAGGACGGTCTCCTTGCTGGAATTGTGAGCTTAACCACTCTCTTTTCAAAATCTAGTTAAACGCACCCCTGCAAACTTGTTAATTCAAAACCTTTGAAATTTGATTAATGTATAGTATAGATATAGAGGATACAACAGTCACACCAGCAAATAAAATAATTTACAAAATAATCTAACCAGAATGCTTAGACTTCAAGTGGCTAAGCAAAATAAGATTGATTTGACATGCTTTCATAATATTTTAACCATTCAGACAAAAAAAAAAAAAGTGATGAACAGAACAAGAAGTGATTTGCCTAAGCAGTAAAAAGAAAAAAAATGCTAGAACTACCCTAACTTTTCTCCCACTATCTATCTTTCAAGCATTTAACAGGTAATCACCTTAGCCTAGGCAAGCCAGTAAGCTACATGTACTGTACTGTACCTCTGCTATGAGTTCAAGAGCCTGTAAACAAGCCAGGCAGTTAACCATTTTAGAACAAATATTCAAATGTTTTTATTGCTGTGGCTAAAATTGCAGACTGGCAGATGTGGGAGATGACACAGTGCTTTGATTCATGAATGATTAATATATTGATTTTTACAGGTTGGAGCAATGGGAGAAACATCCGGGCCACCAATCCTTGAAATGAAACCACACTTAAATGATGCAAACCTTGTGAAACCGTGCTGTAAAAGATGAGATTCTTGGCTCTTGCAACACTGTTACCCTTCCCAAGGGTCCTTGGTTCTCAACTTGGTTCTAGCAGAACATGTATAGGCAAGGGAAACAAGTTAGCAAGATATTCCTTCAGCTATCTTCCACCAGATGGCACCAGTAGTATTGTACAGACAAGATGTCACCTCAACATCAGGACCTCGCTGAATAAGCAGATATCTAGGCGACGTAAGCAGTACCTCAATAGCAGCTCAGCAGATGATGTCATCAGAAATTTTGAAAGGAACAAAATGTTGATATTTGATCCCAGGAAATTTTTACAGTATTTGTGGGCTCTAGTGCGGTCAAATTCTGACAGCAACCGCAGCAGTTTTGACTTCCACTTTGTGACATTCCTGGAGATGGAAAGGCTTGAGATGCTTCAGCCCAATCAAATAAATGACATACTCATCCTTATGTCTCAGTTATCTCCAGATAAGAAAAATCAGAACATTGTTGGTCCATTGGAAGACTCTGTGTCGGCTAATTGGGCACACTGGCCCATGCTAGACAAACTCACATGTGTTGAAGCTGCCATCTATGTCCGGTACTCTTTCAACAACCAATTCTTTGAGTCTGAGATGAAACGGTTTTATGGCACTTTAGCCACTGAGGTTAAAGCCATGAAGGAAATATCTCTGGTCAAATTGTGCCGAGTCATTTCCCTTTTGCACTCCTCCAAGAATATCCTGTGGCTGGACGTGAGCGCTAAAAGATATGCTTGTTTATTATTGGATGCCGTGGAAAGCCAACTCTTTGGAAACCATCATGTAAGTGAGACTCTACATCCTCAGGATGTTGGACTGTTCTTACAGGTATGCCATGAAGTAGACAGACCTATCTCGGCTGAGGTTCTGTCCAAAATAGCGAACCCCAGTGTTTTGAGACCTGTGATGAATGCTGCTGACAGCAAAATGGATTGGGAATCGGCGTCATATCGATATGTGAAATGTGTGCAGGATTTATTTCGGGCGTCAAGAAAGCACCCGCCTGAAATTTATGCACTTTTGAAATTCTTTAAGGAGATGGAAGATAATGTTCTCAGTCATGTGTCATTATTGCCTGTCAAACATGGCGTGAAAATAGCGTCTGCGTTTACCAAAGAGCGCTACTACTGCCCTAAATTAATTGACTCGCTCCTGGAGCACCAGGACATCAGACGGGATGAAATGGGGACTGAAAGTATAGTCCAGTTTTTTCAAGTTGTAAGAGACAGTTCTTATAGGTGCGGAAAGGACTGTGTAATGACTTTAGTACATCTTTTCGAAAAAGCAGATTTTTCAAAGAGTCCTCCGCAAGAAGAGCTTTCATTTCTTGAATGTGCAATCCATCTTGGAATGAGTAGCTACTGGGGAAAACTGCTTGACCGAGTGCTGGACGAGGACATTTTCATCATAAAAGCCAGTCAGGACAGTTCCCAGTCCTCAGCTATGTTACAGATGAAGATCAATATTTGTAGTTTTCTAGTGCAGAAGTGGATAAGTGAGTATGGCAGACAACTTCTAGATATCCATGGACTTCTGTCAGAAAGTCTGCAGCAGATGGAGTTCTTTGGTGATGGTGGAAAGAAAGCAATAGCTGATGAGCTTTTGGTAGTAGATGAGAATGATGATGCTCAGAATGCCCCAAAATCCTTTCAGGTAATATGTTTGTATTAAAATTTGTTACCATGCAGTTAAAGGAAAAGGAGGCATTTTTTATGTCAGAATTACAGTTTAAATTACAGTATTATCTTTATGTGACTTGCATTTATCATGCTTACAATGTTTATTAAAATGAGATGCTATGTTTAAGAATGCTAGAATGCAATACTATGTTTTTCTAATGGTGAGAGACAAATGAGAGCAGGTAAACTACTCACTCATATCAGTTTGTTAAGGAGTTGATCCAGAAAGTTATTTTTGGGCAATCCTTTTTATCGTGACTGCCATCAAAATGTATTTTATTATATTATTTCATTTCAGCCATGTAGAATCTTTATTTCATAACGAATTTATTTGAGTTTTAAGATATTTAAGTAGTATCGTAGTTTATAGTTCTTACATCCACATTTTAGGCTTTCATTTAAAGACTGTGTATGAATTTCAAATGATATGCACTGCTAAAAAATCCATTGTAATTTTTTTTCTTCTAATACTAATTCAGCCTTCAGGGACATGGAGTAAATGTAAGAGATAATGTTTATTTAACTATTACTAGGTAACATGTCCTAGTTCTCTAGGTAGGTCGAGCAATTCTTTGGATGGATTCGAAATTTTACAAGTACCTGGGGAGACACTGATGACATGTTCCACAATAAATCACAGCTAAATTTCTCAGATCAGGCCCGTAGCCAGAAATTTCAGAAGGGGGTTCTTTTTCTAAAAAAACAGACCTTTTACCATGAAACTTTCATGTACCTTAATTAAATTTCACCCAGAGAAGACCTTTTCCCTGCAAAAAGGAGGGTTCTTTCGAACCCCCTGAACCCCCCCTGGCTACGGGCCTGCAGATGTTTAGTTTGATTGTCCAGAGATTACATATTCTTTTCAGAAAGTTCAGGTTGACCCTTTAGAGGCTGATGAAGAGGTACAGCTAGAAAACGTACCTGATTCAACTGAGCTTGATCATAGAAGGGATTTTGGACTCCCAGAAGACATTCTTGAGGATCGTGGCAAGGAGCAGGGGGAGTTGAGTGAAGGGCTTCAACTTCTCAAATCAGCATTGCTGTTAAAAGGATACCCAAGCAGACCTGTGCATCTCCCGTACATGAACACTAGTTTCTTGGAAATCTGCCTGGACGAGTCGGGCATACCAAGGGATGTGAATGGGCCTACAGTAGATGCCTTGGGTCTGTCAGTTAGGCATCATCAAGGTGGTTACACCAAGGTTGCCATACTTCCCGTCGAGCCGCAACATTATTTTATCAACTGCTATCCAAAGAAACTCATCGGTAGGTGCAACTTGGAAGGCTTAGGGTAATTTCTCACACATATCAACCACCTTGCATCTTTTACCCGAAAATTCTGTAATTGACTGGTAGATTAAACAATTTCTTGTGCCAGGTTCTAAAAAACCCTGTTAGGGTTGGTGATTAAACAATATCTTGTGCTGATTTCTAAAATTTTTGTTATGTTTGATAGATAAGACACTTTCTTGTGCCACCATTTTTTAAAAATTCTGTTATGATTGGTAGATTAAACACTTTCTGATGCCAATTTCTAATAAATTTATTGTTATAATTGATAGATTTAACCAAAAGTTTTTCAAAAGTTATACTGTTTTTTTAAAGCATATGTGCAATACAGATAACACCTTTAGTCAAAAATTGACTTATTATTTTCAAACATACATGAGTGATACGTAAGTCTTACTAAAATACAGGTTGAGTTTGAAGACCAGCATGATCAGATTATTTTTTATACACAGACATATCAACTGCGAGGAGAAGCAGCCATTAGATGCTGAAACTGAAATCTTTGTCTAATTCTGGAAGGTTCCATAAATGCTAGGGACCTCTTGTTTGTTGCATTTCGTAGAGCTTGTCAATCCCAACACATTTAAAGAGTTGTGCTATATCAAAAAATATAATGTCGCAATATACAGTGTTCAAAATAAAACGTGAAATACTCAAAAATAAGCAGAGATAAGCCCATGGCTACTATTGAACTTGAATAGGAAGTTGGCAATCTAATTGTGACTTTTACTTTTAATGACCACTAGCCTTTGCAAATTTTGTTTCCCTTTATCTCCCAAACTGGCAGAGATAGGTACAAAGTTACTATTGAAGTTGAATAGGAAGTCATATACTAGCAATCTAAATGTGACCTTAAATTGACC